AGTTGAACTGCTTGGGTTTTAATGAAATAAAATAATTTTATTCAAGATCATTTTATTTTAAAACTAGAATCAGAATCGTAATTGGAATTTTAATATGAATTCAGATCAAATATCTTAAATTCGAGGGTCGTAATTTTTTGGGGAATTAATTTGTTCTTAATCCGTATAAAATGGATGGTGCATTTTAGTTTGAAAATGCATTTGTATTAAGAATAAGACTATTTTAATATTGAATTCGGGGATCATGATTTTTAGAATAAATTGCTCTGGTTCCTGACAAATTCATTTTGAACACACGAGTAAATATTTATGTTAAGAATGAAACTATATTAATTTATAAAATTATAGAATAATTAAAATAAGAAATTATAAATGGAAGTACAATGTTCTTTAATATAATATATGCGCGCGCGCGCGCGCGTGTGTGTGTGTGTGTGTGTGTGTGTGTGTGTATGTTCTATAATAAAAATTGTTTAGCTCTAAATATTATCGTTGAAAGATTACTACTGCAGATGATCGGTATAGATTAATAAAACGAGTGTGTGTTCAATATATTCTATTCCAACATGCTGATATAATTTCGCTTAGAAGTCAAATGCACTCCTCTTTAATTAAAGCCAATTTATCTGCTACTGTTAGTTGCAGCCGATATCCAATACCTCTTTCTCTGATGCGAAAACTATCATCTATGCATGAAACAAACACGCAGAAAATGTTTTATGATTAATAAATGTCGTTATTTAATAAAGTAAATGCGTTTTGTACTTTGAAAGTGTCTTGTGATTTAATTTGTTCAAAATATAGTGGATATCTGTATCTGCGTCCTTGGTTTAAAAAAAAAGATCCCGATCCTTCTTTTAATATCTTCATGCATTCACATTTTGAAGTTTCATCTGATTTTACGTAGAAGATAATTTGGTTACATTAAACTTATTATTCAATATCGATCCTTTCGAAACAGATTTTTTATTAAAAAGAGGCCGTTCTAAAAGGAGAGTAATAGCTTGTATTGGTTTATAAATTTAAATCATTCATATATATTTAAATTCCTCGCGATGTTTGGCAAAAAAAAAAAAAGGAAACATACCGATTGTATATAGATATGTAACATATATAAATTATTCTTATACACTTTCATATTCCGATATCTTTTTATTTATATAAAAAAAAAAAAGAACTGTTACATTATAAATTCATTAATAGAAATTATTCTGGGTAAACCAGAAAGGTCATAACACCGAGGTGGAAGTTTTATTAAAAAAAAATTAGATTTCACAAGGCCGCGAAAAGACTAATCTCTGACCGGTGCGGCAAGTTAAAGTTACCAGGGCTCGATAAAACGTTTCATTAAGCCGTCCACGTGGTACGATTATTCTCACGCGATATAAAGTTTCGACCGTAATTCTCGTGGAATCGCGCGGCTCGATAATTTCAACGCGGCGCGACACCGGGCCGCAACGCGATGACTCTTTTTTTTTTTCCCTCCCCTCCCGCTTTCACGACGTTTTAATGCGTCCCATCATCAGAAGATTCATCGGGATGAAACGTGTCGATCACTTTCGCGAATTCGGCCGCTTCTGTCCAAAAATTCCGATGAAATTCAATGTATTAACTTAAATTAACGTCACACGCGAATGCTTTATGGCCAATATCGATAGAGTATCGCGTACGAGAAAGGCTGCAGTGTTGCCATGCTGTTCAATCGAGTGTGGAATATCGTATGATCGATGGTTCCCGTTCGATCACGACTACGGATTATCTATTTTTATTTTTGAATGTCCGTGGCGAGATATCAAACCTGGTCGTGGAGATCGCTCGTACGGAACATAGAATTCACAGAGCTCAAAAATCAATCTCCTGTTCGATAAAATTTTTCTCACTTCTAAGTTCCTTCAATTTCTAACCCTTTATTGTGTAAAATAGAACGTTTTAGTTTCTAACAGATTGCGGATTCTTGTGTATACTACTTTTGGGAAATTCGAAGCTACAAAAATACGTATAATGCCTACAACATGAAAATATAAAACATCCAAAGAAGAGTATTCGTTATAGTATTTAATAAATGATGGAAATTTCCTTTCATTCTTTCACAGATACATTAAATTCTATTAAATTCTTTAAGATCTTGAATTATCGTTTGATATATGAAACATCATATGTTCCTAAGATTCGTGATGCGCATTTAACAAAATTTCGAATTCAATATGACTGAAGATTTTTCTCCTGCAAATTTAATATACGAATATGTGGATATTCTAGTCTATTTGACAGAACTTTCAAATATGAAAGAAAGGTTAAAATTCTCCTTTCGTGGATCCATAAAACATTAGGCATGATTCTAATCGTCTCTAACGACCTCCCGACACGGAACTAATAGAATTTTAAAATTCGTTATCGTCCAATACAAGAAGGGCGAAGACTTTCGTCCCGGTGCTGGATCGCCACGAAAGCTCGCGAGGGTACTTGCCTAAGTAAGCCGAAATTGGTTGGTCGGTAAGGTCAAACAGGCGTATCTAGACTACTAATTACCTAAGGGATTGGTACGAACTTAGCAGGACTCCCGGTGTACAATTGGAGCAGGCGAACGATAGGGAAGTTCCGCAAACCCATTGCGTTTATATTCGCCATCGAGATCTTTCCTTAATCCTCATTGCCCTAGGAGGTTTCGAGAATCGGTCTAAGTCCGCCAAGGCTGCTAGGAAGTGGCGGGTGAACTTGCTATCGAATTTACAATTATATCGGCTACGAACGCCCCTTCGCTCCAAAACTGATACAACCGAGACAATTTTCTCACTCTTATTGCCCGCCTGAACAGTGACATTTTAATTCCACCACCATTAGAATTGTTAGCCCTTGGCCAACTTTCCACGAGCGTTTTATATTAAAGAGCAATTTTCGAGACTGGCACGGTTCCGCTTGTTCGCCAGATTATTAATGACGGAAGTCACGACTATGAGTGCATGTATTAAGGGCGCGCAAAGACGGAAGAAGGTCGGAGGTTGTAAAGCCGGGATTAATTAATGGCAATCAGTAAGAGTACTTAACCGTATGTTCACAAGGTACTTGTGGTTAGCTATCTCGGTGTTTCTTTGTCCGATAATTCGTGGTTTCTCGTAGTTCATAACGCTCGCTAGTAGTGTGGACTGCGAACAGATTATAGCGAACCCGACTATGAAAGAGCGAACCCTGTTTGCGCTGGAGACGGCACATTAAAGGGTCTGTTTGCACACATGGAAGGTGTACAGACACGTTGTAATAATGTCAACAAATTTGACGATCATTTTGATGCCAAGTTTCAGTTTTTATCTAATCATGGTGACCTGACCAGTACTGACGTTCTCTTTTTCTTCCAACATTACTTTCTTTCATTATTAAACACACAACTAATGCTGGCAACAGATCTTCCTCAAACATCTTTACAAGTTTCAAAATTTTTATGCGCACATGAACACAGTCTGCAGCAAACTGTCCGCAAACAGTCTGCGAACAATTCTGAGACTGTTTGCGAGTTTCGTTGTGGATACTTCTGCTGTTTGTGAACGGCTCGTAAGCAGATCTAGCCAGTGTTTCGCCTTTGAGATTTTATGGAGAAGAATTTCCGAGCTGATAAAATTCTCGGTAGAAAGGCAACAGAATGGAATAACGTTAAGGAAGCACATTCTTTTTCCTTTCTTTTTTCTATAGTGAGACTTTGTATTTTTTGGCTAACAGCTTCAAGTGGCATAGATTCGCAGACCATGCAGAGGGAGGGCTGAGACGACGCGCGTGGCTTCTTAAAAGAGCTCTCGCAGAGAACGAGAAAAGCTCGTAGACGTGACGTCATACTGTGTGGAGACGCAGTTGGGGATTTCGTAGCGGTTGGTCAAGAAGAGGGTGGATGACGTCACGTCCGTGATGATTGTGCTTCTGAAGATTGCTAGCTTCAAGAAGATTTCTGTTCTTCTCAACAACCTTTACCCTTCTTCGTATGGAATATAAATTATAAAAATATTTATCTCGTTATACACAATATTGCGCCTCGTGAGAGTAACTCATTAAAATTAGCGCAATTTCTCGTTTGTTATTTTAATTAATTTACGTTAATAAACTCTGCCTTTTTCCATTGTTGTGTAAAAGGATTTCAAGAATTTGTTTGTTACTTTTTTTCATCATTACTTTTTCCACGTAGATTACATAATTTTTTTACACAATTGGCATATTTTTGTAAATTAATTCACAGCGATGTGCGCATTACTTTATTTCCATTTTTCGATAAAATTACTTGATGTTCAACGAGTTATTAGTTGCATAATTTCGTTTGCATCATATCGCGGAAATTAATTTTAATGAAATCAGCAACCGAAAATACGAATTATAGATTGTAATTCTCATGGAAAAATTGTGAATGTTTCAGAGGTTATTTAACTAAACAAGAATTCAGTATCTGATGGACGAGTATTCTGCAGTTTAACAGCGATGGAATTTTAATAAAAACATAAAAAGGAAGCATTAATAAAATCGTAATATTGAAACAAAGTTTACATCAGATATACAGTCGCAATTTCCAAGTTAAATCGAATTCTTACAATTCTTTTTCATTTTATAATTGCCTACCAAATTCGCTGTTAGTGCAGTGACATTTCAGATACAATTATTAAATGTGTTTTGATGTTTTCTATTTGTTACGAAAGAGTAATATTATTTAATAAATCCTGACAAAGCCACATAATTTAATGAAGAAATTCATGATTCATCAAGTTCAAGTTTCTTTATAGAAAACTCTCTTTATAGAAAAAATATTACTGACCAATAGCACGAACAATAAAAGTTTCATTAATGCGTTTCATTCAATTTTTAATAATAACAACGACGTTTCGAAATCTTGCAACGCCCATTGCAATGTTATAATCATGAATACTCATTATAATTTCGGAACGTAGGTTTTAAAATTCTAACCTCAATCTAACAAACTTTCACGAATTTTTTCATAGTAAAAATATTATTACTATCGTGACACTTACATCTGTAGCGAACGAACATCTTCCACGGAGAAGCCTCCAATAAAATTTCCTTCCGTCATAAACGAAATTTTCTGTAATGGCTGGTAATTGTTCGTTGACCGCTGAAACTTCATTCCGCGGAAACGTATTTTCAATAGCCCAGTCGCGCGCGTCGAATCGTTCTTTCGAATGAATCACTTCGTCCCGCTGTTCCCTCATTCGTTTCAATCAATCTCATCGCGAACGCGTTGTATTTATCAAGCGTCGCATCCATATTATTGCCAATATTTATACCGAAAATACAACTTGAAATAAATCGTGGCCAGAAACTACTTGTTAAAAGAGATGATTGAATGACCGTTAGGTCCCTTGCTCATGATCGCGATGCGGGTGAGTTTTAATGTGTGTCGCGGCGAACTGTACAGAGAACGCGAGTGCCGCAAGGGAGGGGGAAAGTCGGCCGGCGAGGAGGGGAGACGACAGTACGGTATACCGAAGACTCGTTTCGGCGGTGTGGTGGGGGCTACGGGGGTCCAGGCATGAAGAGGGCGCAGTTCCGCGCCATCCTCCGTATCGTTGACACGTCCTACGAAAAGAGTGTAGAGAGTCAGTCGGTACGTTCGCTTCTCTCGTGACTCGTCTTGTGCGTTGATCCTCGATCACGAAATAACCTCCTCGTGACACACCGAACGATCACGTCGTTCGGTCTTCACGGGCCGATCGCTCACCAGCGAGAACGCTACGTGTACTACGTGGCTCGACGTGAGCGTTTTCTTTATTTCAAATATCGCGCGTGCATCGGACAGTGCGCGTGCCGTGCGACCGTTGGGTCGCTGACTTTCAAAATAGTTTCAATCGCGCTTTCAACCTATCGAGTACGTCGCCGTGTTGTAGGAGCCGTGTATCGACCGTATATCGATCCGCGATCCTCTTTCGACTTGTTCGTTTTCCCACTTTCTCGCCGTGTCGTGTAGCACGAGACTGCAATCGTATAACAGTGGATTGGTGAACTTCGGGTGTGACACTTTTTGTTCGAATTAGTGAGCTAATTTGCACGGGGAACTATGTCGTCGACTGGCAATTGTCTGTTCGCTACGGTGGCCCTTCTGATCGCCTTTACGACCGGAATCAACGCCATACAAACCATGGACGCCAAGATTCGCGACGACTCCGACTTGTCCCAGGTAAGAATGTTAATGTTTCTCGTCTCTCTCTCTCTCTCTCTCTCTCTCTTTCTCTGTCTTTCTCTGTCTTTCTCTCGCGCAAACGACGCTTCGATTTCAAACTGAATACTTCTCTCTGCGCGTGGTGAACGTACTACGTAGTTATACGAACATTTGAACAGTCGAGGTTACGTGTGACCTCAACTTTCGTGGTCGAAACAAATACGCAAAGTCTTCGCGTGTCAACGAAATAAATAAACGTACCGAAGACGGATATTGTTTTGATAATAACAATCCGTGGCCTCGATTTGTGTCGGAACCGGTTTATTCGACAACGAGACAATACTGTATATCCTGTATTTGTGAGACTTCCGAATGAAATTAAATATGGTGTACGGTCTCTAACGATTTGTTGTAACCTTGTACAATTACTTGTAACTTACAGGGTTAATCTCGTTAGGAGAGATTTATGATCGAATCCGATGGTACTTTTCTTGTGTTAACAAAATAGTGTCATGGCGGATAATTCCGAATGGCGAAATACTCCAGTTTTTAATTTGGAGTACTTTTGAATTAGGAAAGAATGTCCATTAAAGATATATTAATATAAAGTGTAACTGTTGAAATCTATTATTTAAATTAATTTATTTGCTTTATTGTGTTAATTGTTTGATCCTTTCAGCGTTATTAATATTTTTTTTTTTATATCTAAAATAGGGCTCCAATCCTTTTCCTGTGTAACGCGTTTCTTCTTATTAAAATCGTATTATATATATAATAATTAAACTCTAGTATGATATAATAATTAAACTCTAGTATGATATAATATGTAATCTAGTATAATATAATAATTAAACTCGAGCATTTAAATTAATTTAAATATGTGAAAAATATGTTTTTATAAAAAAAAAATGCTCCAATTTTTCGTGACATGACACGACGACACATTCTCGTCAAAATCGTATCACGTACGCGGTACTATTTGCGTGGATTTTAGTGTTAAGTGGTGCTATTCGCGTCCGGAATTTATTTTTATGTCACCATCAAATTGCTAATAGAAACTCTAATAGGTTTTTTGTCGACATGATTGAATCACTTAATTTTAGGACCTCTCCATGCTAACGTTTATGACGAGGTTTACGCACCGTCTCACATCATTCTGTTAATTAATGACGCAATAAAAGGGACTGGCTGACATAAAATCGAGAGTCACTCAACTCTTTTCTGTGCGTTCAATCGATACCGCGTTCTTCCTCCTCTAGTTTTTGCACGCAAGAAAAATCTCATTGGTCGATAAAAGAAAGAGCATTTGTTATTGCAAAAGCTTTATGTAAATAAATCGTCAATTCTGTTTCTTTTAAGATGGTGAAAATATTTATCTCACGAAGCTACTCATTTCTTAATGGAGCATCTATTCGGAAAATTTAGAATAAAAAATTCCTAGTGCTTGAAATATTAGATAAAGTTGTTAAATTGCCTAGTTTTTTTTTTGTATTCAATGCTTTCGTATTTTACATTAATTAATTAGATAAATAGATAGTTATTATTAGATACATAATTATTTAATAGATGGAGTAGATATTTGTTATTTTTTTAAATTTTTTACATATTAACTTATAACATCAATTCGTTGTGGGAGAAAAGCAATGATGGTACAGAATAATTAGAAAAATTTTTCCCTCAAACTTTCGTAAAAAGCGAATAATTTTGCTATTTTTTAATTATGTAAATTTTCTATATTATTTCTAAATTATATCAAACAATGAGTATTCATAAGATTTTTTTCAATCAAATTTTTACAGAAAGCAACACTTAATTGTTTTCCTACGTTTTCGTTTCCTACAAATTCTTCAAATTTTAATTAAAACTTTCAATTGTATGTATGAATTTGGAAATATTTTTAATCTCTCTCTCTCCCATAATTAACACAAATTTCACAGAAGAACGATACGCATTATTTTCAACGTGGAAAGAATCCTTCGAATATCGGAGGTGAAATTTCTAGGGATTTGATTTCACGAATTGCGACGATCTGCGAAATTATCCGTGCTACGATCGAGTCAATTTTTCACGCGATCTCGTTTAAAAGGGCGAGTTCTATAACCGGAGGCGGGCAGTCTTCCACGGTTGGCGTTTCACGTTTAGTTAAATAGACTGATCTACATTAAATCCCCCCGGAGATTCCTTTGGTGGCTTTGAATTCACCTCGCTGAATATTACAATAATGCGTATCCAGCTTCGAAGGCAGGCCGAACGGATCCCACCCACCAACTTGTTGCTGCGACAAAAATCGTCAGGACGTTTTCGCTTGGGGCTAGTTTTCACTTCGATCGATTCAACAAACTACTTGCTACCGCGCCGCGGTCCTCGAACTCGATTTTCACAGCTTTTATTTCATTCCACGCCCGGCACCGAACTTCCGCGATTCTTTTTATCGCCGAGAAATATGATTCGGCCGTCCCTCTGCTTTTAACCTTTTCGCGGTCGTGGAACGTGCAGCTTTTAATTTTGTCCCTCGGCTTGACGTTTATTTGTTCGAGCTCAGAGGCATTCTGACGTTGAAATCGAGTTCATTCGCGCGAAATACGATGAAGATACTTCATTCGATCTTCTGTTTGTTTTTTTGAAAAAAGGTTAGAGAAAAACTCTAAATTGCAATTAAATTTACATTCTTATGATAAATTTATTGATTGAATAACGGGTGTTTTCGATTCGCGTCGAATGAGTGAATATCTCAAATTTTCAAATTAACCCTGCCGTTCTCATTATTGCTTCATCGAGTTCTATTTTTTCAGTTGTTTTTCTTTTTTTGCAAATATTTTATCTATAGAGAACGTGGAAGATACAGTAATATATTGAATATAATATATTGAATTGTAGTATCTCTGTGGAGTCATGTAAAATAGAAAAAGAAAGAAAAAAAATAGCAGGATTAAATGTAGTTTGAAAAGGATCAACGGATCATTTTGTGGGAAAATATTATGCTATAAGGATAAATGCGAATAGATTGTTTCGATTTCATCGTTTTCTCTGATCTCGAAGTATAATAAACTCTCGATCTAACATGATATGCTTCGAGTAATATCAGCAGGTATGCAAGGATTGCTTGCTCGGGAAGGAAGATTATGATTAAAGTTTAAAGGCAATAAAGAAACTTTTTGGAGGAAATTGATCGATTTTGAATAATTTTCGAAGATTAAAAATTTCGATGGAAATTTCGACTGGAGGGATAATATTATATTGCTGGATTGCACGATTCAATACATTTTTAAAAAGAATTACCAATTACATGGATATTCGAGTCTTTAAACAGAAAGATCAGTAATCTTTTCTTACACACAAGAATCATCAATCATCAAGCAGTCTTTTGTTTCGTTAAATTTAAAAACGACAAAGTTTTATTTTCTTCTCTCTTTTATATTTTTCACGAAATCTTACGTTTAGTATGCTTGTTCCATTGAATCCTAAACACTACAGAGTAGCAATTTTTACTTTCTTTTGCCTATTCGTATCCCAATTGTTGCAAATAGCAAAAGCAAGTTTCAAAAAAAAAAAAAAAAAAAAAAAAAAAAAAAGACACACGTGGTATTTTCACTAAAAAAACCATCGCACTCGTGTGAAATGTCAAATGACGCACGTACAAAATTAAACTTTACGAAACATCCCGTATTGTCAGTTGTCTCGTTAAAAAGAATTACAATAAACGATCTCGGCGATCTATTGTTCAAAACAATACGGAATCCCACACTCTGTAGGGCCACGTTCAAACACGACACACACACGCGTAATACGTAAATCCGTATTCGTCGCGAAATACAGAGTGTAACACGTGGAATCAGATTATGTCGGTATAATGTAGAATGGTTTTGACATGGAAGATTAACAATAGCCATCTTCGTCGTTGTCACACGCTTCTAATTCATCCATTGTTACGTTCGTTCTGATTATTGGGAACATGTGAATTCCTCGCGCTGTTCCATATTCGCTCATTCTTCCGTGGAAAAGTCGCGGTGCCACGCGGTCAACCGCGTATAACTGAAACGGTCATTGTCAATGTCAAAGTCGTACTTCGTTTCCGTTCCTCGCTCTCATTCTTTTTCACTCTCTTTTTCAACATGAAGGCTCAGCTTCTGCCAGCAAGTGGCCTTGCCTTTCACTTTTTTTCGTACAATGCCTACGTTAAGTCCCGCTAAGTTCCATTCACGTTAAAGGCAGCCAGACGTGTGGGCGGGTAGACTGGTTACGCCGGTGTGCACGATGCATGCTCGTACGCGATAACGATCCTGCTGGCCTTCGAAGATTCAGTTTAATGTTAAACGTCATTAAGCTCCGATGATTCCCCCGTTTTTCCGGTTTGTCGAGCGGTTGAACCCTCTTTTTGTCTCTCGTCAACGCTACATGGTGCATGTGCAGAGAAACGAACGAAGAGGACGAATATAATTTTTTTTTTTTGGGGGGAATTGGAAAAACTGTGTAATCTGTGTCGAAAATCTGTTCCGTTGAATTTCTTCTCCTATCGGTCATTTATGGGGGAAACGTGATTAGTGTTTGTGATCAAATGTTATTTCATTTGTACATACTCATATTTGGTGAATAGATTTTCTTTTTATTTCTATATTTTAATTTTATATCGTACACAGTCAGTTATTGTTATTTATAGCGGGTCGTTAAAATTTGAAAAATGTTCTTAAATTTTGCTTCGTCTTCTGGGTTTAAATGATATTTCGAAATATCTGGAATTTAAATAATTTAATGCTTATCTTCATCATTCTGTCATCATAATCTTTTCGTTCTGACACAATTATTACGCCATTAACCTTGGCATTTACCAGTTTTTTTTTCTAAATTCTTATCTTGTGTCATTAAAATACACACGGTGTGTGTTGTTATTCGTGCAACACGATCATATTAGCAACAAGGAATATATTTCCAACGATACATATGTTCTACAGAAATAGGAGCTATGAAACTGGCACGAAACGTAATAGAATTTTGCATTCTAACGACAATGTTACTCTAAG